ACGGAGTCTGGCTCTGTCGTCCAGGCTGGAGTGCAGTGGCCGGATCTCAGCTCACTGCAAGCTCCGCCTCCCGAGTTTATGCCATTCTCCTGCCTCAGCCTCCCGAGTAGCTGGGACTACAGGCGCCCGCCACCTCGCCCGGCTAGTTTTTGTATTTTTTAGTAGAGACGGGGTTTCACCGTGTTAGCCAGGATGGTCTCGATCTCCTGACCTCGTGATTCGCCCGTCTCGGCCTCCCAAAGTGCCGGGATTACAGGCTTGAGCCACTGCGCCCGGCCTTTCCTCAGGTTTTCTTCTGCTGACATCTGTGACAGCTTCTTGATCTGTCCCCAGGTGGGTTCAATGGGTGTTGCTCGTGACAGTTGGGGTCCTCCTCAGCATCAGTCTCAACATGGTTGCCACTGGGGGGTCCTCAGGATCCTCCCAGAATCTCTTCCTCAGCATCTGGCTCATGATAAGGTTTCAGATGGTATCCAGATCTGCTGTTGATTTTGGCCTGGAGAAACACAAGCATAACCTCTACTGCAAGTTATTATTTTACCTATTTCCCAACTTTTTGTTATCAGATCTCTCCACCAAATCCATTTTTCTGCTTCTGTCTTTGCAGCTGATTTCTGTAGATGCTGTTCAGCTGCTGATAGCATCTGGTCTTTAGGCAGGCTCAAAAAATTTAAAGTTAATAATGCTATATGCAGTTGCATCTGTAGGGTTCCATATTTCTTATTTCCCCCCTTTCTGCTTTTGCAACTGCTGTTTTAGGGAGAGATTCATTCTTTCCACTATGGCTTGTCCTTGATAATTGTATGGGATACCAGTAATGTGTTTAATATTCCACATAGATAAATATGTAGCTAGAGCTTGGCTAGTGATGTTTACCACAGGCGGAAGACTGTCCTGATTGGCATGTAGCCCAGACAAAGTGAGAAAAGGTGTCCACACACACATGTACATAAGCTAGTCTCCCAAATGAGGGAACATGTGTGACAACCGTTTGCCAAAGAGAGTTAGGTTCCAATCCTTGAGGATTAACTCCTACTGTAAAAGATGAGAAATGTACCATTTGGCAAGTTGGGCATTGTCGAATAATAGCTTTAGCTTCTCTCTAGGTAATGCTGTATCTGCGTTTGAGACCAGAGGCATTAACATGGGTTAAATTGTGAAAGTGTCTAGCATTAGGTATTGCATTAGCTACCAGGTGATCAGCCATTTGATTCCCTTCAGTCAAAGGTCCTGGAAGAGGTATATGAGCCCTAATGTGAGTGATGTAAAAAGGGTGCATTCTACTTCTAACTGCTGTTTGCAATTGGGTAAATAAAGTCATCAGTTGTTCATCTGTATGAAATTGTAACTGAGCATTTTCAATTAACTGTGTGGAATGAACCACATATGAAGAATCAGAAATCACATTAGTAGGCATATCAAAAGCAGTCAATACCTCAATTACAGCTATGAGTTCTGCTTTTTGAGCCGAAGTATAGGGCGTCTGGAAAACTTTACTTTTCGAGCCAGAATAAGAAGCTTTACCATTACTAGATCCATCTGTAAAAACATTGTCAGCACCTTCAATTGGTTTAAATTTAGTTATTTTAGGGAGAATCCAATTAGTTAATTTCAAACACGGAAACAGTGTCATTTTAGGAAAATGGTTATCAAGAATACCCACAAAGTCAGCTAAATGGGTTTGCCAAGTATGACTATTTATAAAAGCTTGCTGTATTTGTGCCTTCGTGAGAGGGACAATAATTTTTCCAGGATCATATCCATATGATTTAACAATCCGAGTTCTCCCAATCCCTATCATAGTAGCAATTTGATCTAAATGAGGAGTTAGAGTCCGTGAATTAGTATGTGGAAGAGAAAGCCACTCTACTAAGGCCTGTTCTTGGGCAATAACACCAGTAGGTGAATGCTGAGTTGAAAAAATTAGCAAATCTAGAGTCTTCTCTGGATCTATTCTATTTATTTGAGCTTTATAGACTTGCTTCTCAATTAGTTTTAACTTTGCCTCTGCCTCCTTTGTTAATTGCCGAGGGCTAGTGCGACTAGGATTTCCTCTAAGGATAGAAAACAGATTACTCATGGCATAGGTAGGAATGCCTAGAGCAGGTCGTATCCAATTAATATCCCCTAGTAATTTCTGAAAGTCATTTAATGTTTTCAGTTGATCTCTATATATGGTTACTTTCTGTGGCATAATCGTAGTGTCATTTACTAAGGTCCCCAAGTAGGAGCAGGGAGTAGTAGTTTGAATTTTGTCAGGAGCTATAATTAAACCAGCATGAGAAACTGAATTTTGCAAGTGATCATAACATTGGAGTAATATTTCTCAAGGGGGGGCAGCACAAAGTATATCATCCATATAATGAATAATGTAACACTGTGAAAATTTTTTACTAGTAGGTTCAATTGCTTGCCTTACATACTTCTGGAAAATTGTTGGACTGTTTAAAATGACTTGTGGCAACATTTTCCAATGAAAATGCTTAGCAGACTGTAAATTGTTTACTGCAGGAATTGTAAATGCAAACCATTCACAGTCTTGCTCACCTAAAGGGATAGTAAAGAAACAGTGTTTTAAATCTATGACTATTAAAGGCCAATTTTTTGGAATTATAGCAGGAGAAGGCAATCCTGGCTGTAATGCTCCCACAGGTTGTATAACTGAATTGATTGGTCTTAAGTCAGTTAACATTCTCCATTTACCTGATTTTTTCTGAATTATGAAAACAGGAGAATTCCAAGGGGAAAATGTTGGAGCTATGTGCCCATTTTCTAATTGTTCAGTAACTAATTTTTCTAAAGCCTCCAGTTTTTCTTTACTTAGCAGACATTGTTCTATGCAAATTGGCTTATCTGCTAATCATTTTAAAGGTATAGGTTCTGGAGGCTTAACAATGGCCACCATCAAAAATGATATTCTAATCTTTGGCAGGAACTTTGTCTTTCCACTTGAAGTGGTTCTTTCAAATCTTGCAAATTTTGTTCTGGTCCCATACCAGGGACACACCCCATTTCATGCATCATATGTTGACTTTGAGGGCTATATAATTCTTCTGGAATTAGAACTTGTGCTCCCCATTGTTGTAATAAACCTCTCCCCCATAAATTTATAAGTACAGAAGTTATAATTGGTTGAATAGTCCCAGGTTGTCCACTGGGCCCGTGATGCAAAATATAACTACTTTGATATACTTCAGTGGCTTTACCAACTCCAACTATGTTAAATTGAGTGGGTTGAATTGGCCACATGAATGGCCAGTGGTGTAGAGAAATGATTGAAATGTCCGCTCCTGTATCTACCAAACCTTTAAATTTATTTCCCTGAATGGTTATTTTACAGGTAGGACGTTTATCAGTAATTTGATTTACCCAATAAGCTGCTTTGCCTTGTTTATTTGTGCTTCCAAATCTTCCTGTTCATTTAATTTCACTTTTCCCATTCCCACATAGTGGCACAATCAGGAGCTGTGCTATGTGCTCTCCTGGCTCTGCTTTCCAGGGAACAGAAGTAGATACAACAATTTGAATTTCCCCTTTGTAATCTGAATCAATGACTCCTGTATGTATTTGTACCGCTTTTAAATTTACACTAGACCTTCCTAAAAGTAAACCTATTGTCCCCACTGGCAAGGGTCCACATACTCCTGTTGGGACCTTTTGCGGGTGTTCCCCAGGCAGAAGGCTCACAGCTTTTGTGCAGCATAAATCTACTGCGGCACTACCCGCTGTGGTGGGGGACAGAAAATGGCCTGAGCTGGAAATGCCCCTGTTTAGAACGGGGCCCAGGACGGGCCCCTCATGGTATTTCCCCAAATTGGGTTCCCATCTTTATCAAACTTAGAGTGACACTGATTATCCCGATGTTTTCCTTTTTTACATTTTGGACATATTTTGGGCTCAGCAGTTTTCTTTTTTCCTCTATCTGGTGGCCTGACTCACTGATTATTTCTACATTCTTTTTTAGTATGAATAGCTTGTTTAAATTCTTTGAGTAATTTAAAAGGAAAAGGCTCAAATGTAGGTATATTTCCCTGTTGATCTGGGGGGTGTATTCTAACAGGGAACGGCCAACCCTCTAAATCACCTTCTCCTCTACCTTGCTGAATTCCTGCCTGAATAGAACTAAGAGCGGTCGCTCAAGGCACTGCTCAAACATTCACTGGGGCAACTACTTTTCGCCCAGTGTCCTCCAGAAAAGAAAGATCTGGAGGGTCATTTTCTTCAAAATAATAAGGAGCAGGTGCAGAAGGGTAGGGATGAACCTCTCCCTCCTTTGCTGCTTTAGCTTTAGCTGGCAAATAAATCTGCTCTGTAATCTCTTCTGTTACTTCATTATACTCTCCTTCCTCCTCATCATCAGTGTGAAAAAGTTCCAGGGTGGAATGAACGAGACCCCACACTTGTTCCATTGATACCCTGATGCTTCTGAGCTCCCCCTCTTACTCACCACGGGGATTGCTTTAAGAGTACTCAGGTGTCCTCCCGCTAGTTCCACATTCTCCAACAGTCACTCCGGCAACCCTTCGACCTGGATTCGAGCCCCTACAAGTGGGCACCACTTGCTGAGACCAGCTCAGTCGGGGAGACCCTAACCCAGTGGTGCTAGAGGAATTAAAGACACACACACAGAAATATAGAGGTGTGAAGTGGGAAATCAGGGGTCTCACAGCCTTCAGAGCTGAGAACCCCAAACACAGATTTACCCATATATTTATTAACAGCAAGCCAGTCATTAGCATTGTTTCTATAGATATTTGATTAACTAAAAGTATCCCTTATGGGAAACGAAGGAATGGACTGAAATAAAGGGATGAGTCTGGCTAGTTATCTGCAGCAGGAGCATGTCCTTAAGGCACAGATCGCTCATGCTATTGTTTGTGGTTTAAGAATGTCTTTAAATGGTTTTCTGCCCCGGGCAGGCCAGGTTTCCCTTGCCCTCATTCTGGTAAACCCACAACCTTCCAGTGTGGGCATCATGGCCATCATGAACATGTCACAGTGCTGCAGGGATTTTGTTTATGGCCAGTTTTGGGGCCAGTTTATGGCCAGATTTTGGGGGGCCTGTTCCCAACATTTTATAACTCTTTTTTACATTAAGAGGGACAGAAGAGTGGAAGAGTGTGTTGCTGCATTGACAAGGTCCCATGCTTTTCTATGAAGTGCAATCCTAGTTGTCCTTGAGTTAACTTGAATTTTAGGTGTTTCTTCTTTTGAATGTACTTTTCCAGTTCTTCAGCAGGAAAGGTGATATTTTCCTGTCTTTTTTGATGAGGGGTTCAGATGTTACATAACCCCTCACTTCTTCCTTCAGGAGTGGATGGCCTTAAGGCACTGAAGATCCATTAAATCATCAGCACTCAAAGACCTTTTCCTTTTGTTGGCAGTACCATAAAAGTCTTTGTCTTCCAACCTTGAAACAACCTAAGAAAGACAATTGAATAGAAAAGAGGTACAATTTCAAAAGGGGTTCCAACCTGTAACAATCACCATCGATGATAAGCCACACATGCAGACTCCTTTAGATAGTTCAGTAACAGCTACTTTGGCTGAGGTTTACACTGCCAAGTTCTGTCAACTCACTGAGGTGGTCTCCTTTAAGAGCTATAATTAGATTGCTGGAGCAAAGGGGGAACTTGTTTTATTAAGTTATTTAAAAATTGGGCTCCCAAAGATGTCACAGTGTTGTGACAGGCTTCTAACAACAGTATCATCTGTTACCTGTGCACTTGTTCCTTAAACAAAATGAACGTATACTTTTGCAAAAGTTAGTTTATGAATGTATTCAAATTCTACCCAATCTGTAGTAGTTATTATATATTCAAAGCAAATTTTAATGAGGCAGGTATGTTCCGGACTGCATTGGAACGTCAAATAAGTCTAATGACTAAAGCATCAAAAGGTGTTACTTCACTTGCACATTAATCATGGTACAAAATGTATTATTTTAAAATACTTCCCAGGTACCACCAAAAATGCCTATTTTAAATGTTCATCCATGTCAGTTGTGAGTAATTTTGCTGTGTACTTACCAAAAGTCACAAACCATGAATATTACTTTGCCCCATAAAAGTTATTTCCGGTAGAATCCCATGTACTTACTGCATCCAGTGCTTGAGACCCGCATACTTTGTACAGTCTAAGTGCAGGTCTTTTGGCTTAGGCACTAATACTTTGTCTAACAAACTCATGGGACTCACTGCACTGTGGTATATACAGTAGAAAATGACATAAATTTGCAAACTGAATGATAAAAAATAGTCAAGAATGTTAAGTTCATTATATATGTAGATATCAGGAATACAACTGCCAGAAATCACTTATGTACGACTATTTGAAAGGGTAGCGGTTCAAAAGGAAAACAATTAAGAATGAATTAAATTTGATTAAAATAATCTGAATTATGGTTTCAGAAGAGATATCTATAACATTTAAATAATGTGAATCCTTGTATAAACCATAAATATATAGAAAATAGAATGCAGAAAGGTTAATAAGCTCTTCAATATGTTAATTTTGAAGCTTTTCATTTTTATAATCACTTCTTAATATGATCTAGTCGCAGATGTTAGCATTGGTGTTGACTGAAAGCCCACTTAGTACCTTCATAGCCTTACCTCCAGCTCCCATGCTCTTACTATGTCAAGACAAAATGGCAAATATAGGCTACTGTCGTATGCCAACGTGCAAAGGTCAAAGTAGCATTTGGTATAAAGACTGCCAGGAACGTCAACATCATTATTAAGTGGGAGAATTGGTTTCCCAACTCAAGCCTGGGGAAGGAGAAACACAACAAAACCAACACAGGACAATGTTAGTCAACTGGGCTATCTTCAAAAACATTATTCTCATGTAAGAAATGTGGTAAAGTCATCACACGCTCTAGTTTATTAGAACACATAAAAGAACTCATGCTGTAAAGAACCCTATCGATGGAAGAAACACAAAAAAGCATTCAACTTTCCCAGTTCTCTTTGAAAACTTAGAAAAACTTGTATTGGAAAAAAACATGAATGTAAAAAAAGTGTTAATAAATTTGATTTTCCCACATCCTTTCAAAGGCATATTTGAATTTTAATATGTAGAAAAACTACATAATCTTAAGAAACATGGTCAAGGCTTCAGCTTTTTTATTTCTTTGAAACATGAAAGGATTCAAGGGAGAAAACCCTTATACATACAAACATGTGGTAGGGTCGTCAGTTGTTCCAGTTCCATATGAAGACAAGAACTCATTTCTGAAATAAAACCTATGAACGTATAGAATGCAGAAATGCCTTCATTTATGTGATATTTGCTCCAAGACCTATGATAATACACATTGTAGTTGGGCCTTATAAATATAAGAAAGCACACTGGATTGGAACCCCAGTAGATTACAAAATACAGGAACATTTTCAGTTTTAACAATGTCTTTAAAATTTATGTGAAAACTCCCCCTGGAGGGAAATCCTATCCGTATTCCTAAACTGGAAGGGCTGATGCAAACTGATTATTGTATAATCTTCAAAAATGCACCTATGTAAAACTTATACTACTTATGAATATTTTGTGTTTCTCAGCGATTCTTTGAGAGAGTCTATCTACTTATTTCCACTTCTTTTGCAAGAAAACATTGAGGTTAGAATTTTGTAGATACTCTTTAAACAATACTATGTGAGTTTAATAGGCAGTATTTCTTTGTTAAGTCAGTTAATAAAATTTTTGTCCATTTATTTAAAAATATCATGCTGAGCTACTAGAATGGCTCTAAATTCTGCTTTGAAACAAATGAAGGCTATGCAGTTGGATTCCTACACTAATGTCCAAACAGGGCACAGCTGCTTGCAGTCCATTCTGCATCCAGCACCCCAAGTTTGGGATGAGCAGAAAGGTGACAGCCTCTAATGCACTTGTGCTGCTGATACAGGGCTCATTCTTCAGAGTTCCCTTAGTGCAGCTGCACAACTCAGACCCCATGCTCACTCACAAGGCCCCACAATAGTGATCAGATGACAGAAATGGTGGATGCCATTTACTAGCTGTCACTATTACAGGGCAGGAATACTCTTTAAACTTAGGAAGGCAGAAAGATCAAAGAGAGACATCTTGGCCAGACTACACCCATTTTATAATACGCCTTTTGGTAAGGTGCTGGACTTGCACTGTGTATTAGTCTGTTTTCACGCTGCTGATGAACACATACCCGAGACAGGACGGTTTACAAAAGAAAGAGGTTTGTTGGACTCACAGTTCCACATGGCTGGGGAGGCCTCACAATCATGGCAGAAGGCAAGTAGGAGCAAGTCACATCTTATGTGGATGGCAGCAGGCAAAGAGAGAAGCTTGTGTAGGGAAACTCTTCCTTATAATACTGTCAGATCTCATGAGACTCACTCGCTATCACAAGAATAGCACGGGAAAGACCCGCCTCCATCATTCAGTTACTTCCCACGGGGTCCCTCCCACAACACGTGGAAATTCAAGATGAGATTTGGGTGGGACACAGCCAAACTGTATCACACAATGTTTCTCCTGAGTTGGAAATGAAACTCGGGGTGGTCAGCATCTCTCACCCCGGTCAGAAGAGAATGTCGGGATGAGTTGAATGCACTGAGAGAACAGGCTGGGAGCAGCCTTCTGCCACATGATTATTCAGCTGCCCTGGCCAAAGGTGTTTGCTCATTTTTTTTTTTTAATTTTAAGAGACAGGGTCTTGCTCTGTCACCCAGGCTAAAGTGCAGTGGCGTGATCCTAGCTCACAGCAGACTCAAACTTGCAGGCTCAAGTGATCCATTCACCTAAGCCTTTCAAGTAGCTGGGACTACAGGCTCATGCCACTGAGCTGGGCTGTTTTGTTGTTGTTGTTGTTGTTTAATTCTTTTTGCAGAGACAGGGTCTCACTTTTTGCCCAGGCTGGCCTTAAACTCCTGTGATCAAGTGATACTCCCACCTTGGTGTCCCAAAGTGCTGTTATTATTACAGATGGGAGCCACTGTATCCAGCACTTTGTCCAATGTTTAAATAAATATAAACTAGAGTAATCTTACCACTTGCACAGTAATTCCTGTAAAGACTTAATTGTATAAAAATAATTAATACCTGAACAACACATTTGGTTTCTTGGTTTTAAAGTTTTAATGTTTTATCCACTGGCTAAGTCAACAAATGCTTGATGTTCTCTGGTAATGAAGAGCAGTTAAGACATAAGCAGATATGTGGTTTTCTCATTTAACTGAAAACCTGACTGAATCTCCTTCCAGCATTAATTTCCTATTCATATAACCATAAGGCTATAGAAATGTAAATCAGATAATGTTTTCATAATCAGCTAATCAGGACTTAATTTACTATAGGAATATATGCACTTCATAATCTCTTGTTTTTCCAAAAACATATTTTAATTGTGTAAAATACAGTATTTTATAGAATCATCATGTTTATTAATAGAGGCTTAGTTATCAAAGAAAACCATTATGCCTACAGGATATACATCTTCTCAGTTTTCTGTTGTTTTTTACATGGCTTAATAGCATACTCTTTACAGGCACAGCAAATTTTCTGAATAGGAGCTGCTCGGTTTAAATTAAATACATTTTATATATTTATGTATAAACAAATATGTATGTGTGTATGTATGTGTATATGTATGTATGCGCATATATATATATATTTCTTTACCAATAATGGTTTTTAATTTTATTTCAATAGTTTTTGAGGTACAGGTGGTTTTTGGTTCATGGATAAGTTCTTTAGGGATGGTTTTGGAGCTTCTGGTGCACCTACCACCTGAGCAGTGTACACTGTACCCAATATGTAATCTTATCCTTCACCACCCTCCCAACCTTCCTCCTCACGTCCCCAAAGTCCATTATATCATTCTTATGCCTTTGCATCCTCATAGCTTAGCTCCCACCTATAAGTGAGAACATATGATATTTGGTTTTCCATTCCTGAGTTACTTCACTTTGAATAATGACCGCCAGCTCCATCCAAGTTGCTGCAAAGGCCATTATTTCATTCTATTTTATGGCTCAGCAGTATTCCATGGTGTATATATTCTATATTTTCTTTAGCTCCCCATTCATTGATGGGTACTTAGACTGGCTCTATATTTTTGCAATTGCAAATTGTGCTGTTATCAACATGCATGTGCATGTGTTTTTTCATGACTTATTTTCCTTTGGGTAGATGCCCAGTAGTGAGAGATTGCTGGGTTGAACAGCAGTTCTACTTTTAGTTCTTTAAAGAATCCCCACACTGTTTTCCATAGTGGTTGCACTAGTTCACATTCCCATCAGCAGTGTAAAAGTGTTCCCTTTTCACCAAATCCATGCCAACATGTATTTTTTTTTTTTTTTAAACTATGGCCATTCCTGCAGGAGCAAGGTCATATCACATTGTGGTTTTCAGTTGCATGTCCCTGATAATTAGTAACGTTCCTGAAAGAAAATATATTCTAACAAGACAAATACATGTCAAAAAGTTTTAAGAAAAATCTGATAGACACTAATTTTTAAATGGTTCAATTTACAGTCAAAAAGAGACCATTATAAATAATCAACAGCAGAGAGACAAGATAAATGTACATTAAGTACTTTGTTGTATTGCTTTTCAATTTCCAAAGATCATGAACATTGCTCCTGTTCGGAGCATAGCTCCTGGTGCTTCTGCGTTCACAAACAGCATTGTGTAGAACTGGCTGTCTTGGAGCTGGCCTCTGCCACCACTGCTTCTGGAGCTCACATCTATGGAAACCTGCACATTTCCCTGTGTATTTTCTGACCTTGTAACTAGAGCTAGAGTCACCCCCTGCTGCCAGATTAGTTGCAAGTTTTGAGAACAATTTAGCTGCCATTATAGCAAGCTACGTGTTCATAATTATGAATTTTGCTTCCTTCAAGCAACCAGTTTATAGACTGATGACAACTGTCGTGATTAAAGGCATGTTAGCTTCTGCAACTTTCAAAGTACTTCTATTTGTTTCAAATTCATTTGCTGTTATGTTCTTTGCTAAAATGGCTGTTAGCAATATCACCATGACAACTCACTTTATATACTATTAGCAAAGTGGTAATTTAGCAGCCATTTCAACAGCAACCAACCGTCACTAGTCTCTTCTTAGTCACAAGAAGCCGCACTTCAGTTGTAAACACACAGTGTGGTAATTCTGAATGACAGTCTTCTAAAAAATTTTTGGGTACATTGTAGGCATATATATTTATGGGGTATATAAAGTATTTTGATACAGGCCTACAATGTGTCATTGTAGGGTAAATAAAGTATCCATCACACTTCAAGCATTTATCCTTTGTTTTACAAATAGTTCAATTATACTATTTTAGGTACTGTAAAATGTACGATTAAATAAATATTGACAGTAGTCACCCTGTTGTGCTATCAGATACTAGATCTTGTTTATTCTTTCTATGTGTGTGTGCCTATTAACCATTACTCCTTACCCCCCCCATCACCCATACTATCTTTACTAGCTTCTGCTAACAATTCTTCTACTTTAGCTCCCACAAGTAAGTGAGAACATGTGAAGTTTGTCGTTCTTGCTTCACTTATTTCCCTTAACATTTCCATCCATGTTGCTGCAAATAACAGGATCTCATTCTCTTTTACGGTTGAATAGTAAGTACTCCATTGTGTATATGTACATTTGCTTTGGCTACTCATCTGTTGATGGACACTTGGGATGTTCCAAATCTTGGCTGTTGTGAACACTAGTGCAATATCCATGAGAATGTAAGTATCTCTTTGATAATACTGATTTCCTTTCTCTTACGTATATACCCAGCAGTGGGATTGCTGGATCATATGGTAGCTCTATTTTTAGTTTTGAGGACCTCCAAACTGTTCTCTACAGTGGTTGTACTAAATTACATTCCCACTACAGTGTACGAGGGTTACCTTTTCTCTACATCCTCACTTGCATTTGCTATTGCCTGTCTTTTGAATAAAAGCCATTTTAAGTGGGGTGAGGTGATCCCTCATTGTAATTTTGATTTGCATTTCTCTGACAATCAATACTGTTGATGTTGAGTATCTGTTCATATACCTATTTGCCATTTGTATGCTTTTTTATTTTTGAAACAGGGTCTCACTTTGTCACTCAGGTTGGAGTGCAATGGCACAAGCACAGCTCACTGCAGCCTCAACCTCCTGGGATCAGGTAATGTTTGCACGTAATTCTCACAAACAGCCGAAACTACAGGCACGTGCCCCCATGCCTTCTTTTGAGAACTGTGTCTTCTTTTGAGAAGTGTATATTCAGATATTTTGCCCATTTTAAAAATCAGATGATTAGATTTTTTTCTATTGAGTTATTTAAGCTTCTTAAATATTCTGGTAATTAATCCCTTGCAGATAGTTTTCAAATATCTTCCCCCATTCTGTGGGTTGTCTCTTCACTTTGCTGATTGTTTCCTTTGCTGTGCAGAAGTTTTTTAACTTGATGTGACCAAATTTGCCCATTTTTGCTTTGGTTGCCTGTGCTTAAAAAATATTATTCAAGAAATATTTGCCCAGTCTAATATCCTGGTGAGTTTTCCCAATGTTTTATTTTAGTTTTATATTTGAGGTCTTTTATTTAAATATTTTTTAAAAAAATTTTTTAAGAACCATATGACCCAGCCATCCCATTACTGGGTATATACCCAAAGGATTATAAATCATGCTGCTATAAGGACACATGCACACATATGTTTATTGCGGCACTACTCACAATAGCAAAGACTTGGAATCAACCCAAATGTCCATCAGTGACAGACTGGATTAAGAAAATGTGGCACATATATACCTTGGAATACTATGCAGCCATAAAAAAGGATGAGTTTGTGTACTTTGTAGGGTCATGGATGCAGCTGGAAACCATCATTTTCAGCAAACTATCGCAAGAACAGAAAACCAAACACCGCATGTTCTCACTCATAGGTGGGAACTGAACAATGAGATCACTTGGACTCAGGAAGGGGAACATCACACACCGGGGCCTATCATGGGGAGGGGGGAGGGGGGAGGGATGGCATTGGGAGTTATATCTGATGTAAATGACAAGTTGATGGGTGCTGACGAGTTGATGGGTGCAGCACACCAACATGGCACAAGTATACATATGTAACAAACCTGCACATTATGCACATAGAACTTAAAGTATAATAAATAAATAAATAAATAAATTTTTAAGAAATAGAGGCAAAATCTCATTGTATTGCCCAGGCTGGTCTTGAACTTCTGGGCTCAAGCAATCCTCCTTTCTCAGCCTCCCAAAGTGCTTGGATTACAGGCGTGAGCCTCTGCACCCAGCCGAGATTTAAATATTTAATCCAGTTTGATTTTATTTTTGCATAAGATGAGAAATAGAGGCCCAGTTTCATTCTTCTGCATATGGATATCCAGTTTTCCCAGCACCACTTATTGACAAGACTGTCATTTCCCCATTGTATGTTCTCAGCACCTTTGTTGAAAATGAGTTCACTGCAGATGTATGAATTGGTTTCTGGGTTTTCTATTCTGTTCCATTGGTCTATGTGTCTATTTTTAATGCCATTGCCATACTGTTCTGGTTACTATAGCTGTACAGTATAATTTGAAATAAGATAATGTGATTCCTCCAGTTTTGTTTGTTTTTTGCACATTGGCGGTCTTGGATCAGACCTGGAGGAATTGTCTGGATTAGCAGACAGAGACTCACTTCTTCCCTTCCTTTCCAGCAAATGAAGTCTCTCTCTCTTTGTGCTAGGCTGCCTGGAGTTGGGAGAGGAGCAATACAAGCACCCCCGTGGCCACTGGGACAGCACTGGGTCAGACATGAAGCCGGCACAGCACTGTGGCTGCCCAAGACCCCCACTGTAATAACAACCCAGCTGCCACCTATTTCACTCAAGGCCCCAGGGCTCTCCAATTAGCAGGTAGTGATGCCAGCCAGGCTTCTGTCCTTCCCTTCAGTGCAGTACACTCCCCTGGTCCCTAGATGGCGTTCAAAGATGCTGTCTAGAAGCTAGGGCTGGAGTCATAAACTAGAAATCTACCTGGTGTTCTGTTCTATCCTGGCTGAGCTAGCACTGAATCCACCCAGCAAATCACTGCCCACTCTCCCCTCCCCTTTCCCCAGGCAGGACAGTCTTTTCCCACGTACGACGTCATCACAGTCCTGTGTGGATTACCGCCAGCTCACCACTGATGTTCACTTAATGCCTGAGGGCTCTCAGTCAGCTTGTGGCGAATGCTGCCTGGCCTGGAACTCACTCTTCACGACAGTGGGCTCCCCACTGGCCCAGGCTAAGTCCAGAGATGCCATCTAAGAGCCAAGGCCTGAATCAGGGACTCCAACAGCCCACGGGGTGCTCTTCTCCACTGTAGTTGAGCTGGTGTCTAAGCTCCAGAAAAATCCTCTTTAGTCTGCCTTTGGCTTTTCTCAAGCAGGGGAGTCTCTCCTCACAGCCACCACAGCTGGGAATGTGCCAGGTGACACCTGATGCCAGCACATCTGAGTCTCACTTGAGGCCCATGGCATGTACTACCTGATTACCTCTGCTGATTATTCAAGGCCCAAGGGCTCTTTAGTCAGATAGTGACGAATCCTGCCATTACTGAGTCCTTCCCTTCAAGGCAGCAGGTTCCCTTCTGGCCCAGAGTTTGTCTAGAGATGTTATCCCAAAGCTGGGACCTGAAATGGGGATCTCATGACTCTGACCAGTGCCCGCTCCTACTGTGAGCTAGTATCCAAGATGCAAGAGAAAATCCTCTTTCCGCCTTCCTCTCCTCAAGCAGAAGGAGGAGGCCGCTGTCAGACCTGCGAGCTGCACTGTCTAGGATTGGAGGAGGGGTGGGCAAGCACTCCATAGCTGGCCCAGCTGCTGTCTCTCTAGGTCACATGCCCCCAAATACACTGGCTCCAAGCGCGGCACAGCACTAGGACTTGCCTAAGAGTTGCAGTCCTTGTGGCCTAGACAGCCTTTCAGGTTTATTAAGGACCAAGAGTACTTGATCCTGCAGTAGCCAGGCTTTCCACAACTTTATCAACTTTATCAAGTTCCAACCACTGGGATAAACAATTCCCTTCTGGCTAGCACTAGTCTAAATGTTTCCTCCGTGGGTGAGCACCGGATGAGTGCAGCCTTGCTTTGCTTTCTGCTACAACAAGGCAGCACTGTGTTCAGGGCAAAGTCCCACAGCTGCTGTGCTCTCCCTCCACCAAACATGCAGACTCTCCTCGCCACAGGTCCTCTGCCGAGGCTATTCCTGTGACCAGCACAACTGGCAGAGATGTCTACTCAGCCATCAGGCTCCACTTCTGTGGCTACATACATTCTCAACGACAGTTTTACCTACAGGCAAATGTACAACAAACAAACAAAACCTCGTGCCACTGCCTGTCATGATCTTGATCTTCATACGAGATGTTCCCTCATATTTTCCTCAGCGGCATCCACAAAGCCATTCTCACTGTCCAGTGGGCACTCTGAGAGTCTTTGCTAAAAATGCCTCCCTGGCTCACCCTGCCTGCCAGCTCCAAGGCCCTTCCCTTTACAGCAGTCATGAGGCCAGACTGGAAGAAAGACCCCATGAAGCTCACGCTTCTGGGTCCAGTTGGTGATATCTGTGAGCAACCCCATGACTCAGCAAGATTTCCTGCACTCTCATAGGTAACTCAAGGACCCCCAAAGGGCTGTCATGGTCGTATGAGTGCCCTAGGAAGCTCTTGAGTGAGGTGAGCATTGAGTGATGTCCAGCAATGCAATGTTTCTCAGACTGCCTGTGGAGAGCTTCTAACTCATCAGCCTGATCTCTAAACACAGGCAACACTCCTGGGGGAGGGGACAGGGGCACAGGGATCTGTGGCTATTCTGTATGTCAAGGTTTCTATAAAGCAGATCTCCAGATAAAGGCAGGGGGAACACCGGCAAGAGCAAATACACAATGTATGACTCAGGGTGAAGCTATACATTTTTCACAGTCTAGAGGCCCTAGACCTGTCAGTGGCCAATTATTTCAAAGGCCAGACACGTGCTCCTTAAAGAGAGACCAGAACTTGCAGACAGCCCCTAGAAAGCCGTAAAGATATTTACTGTACTATGATGTTCTGGTAGTATACTTGGAAGATAATTGCCAAAAATCACCAGAAAAATACTTTTCAATTTATGAGCAGATTACTATAAGAGCAATTTACCAAGACCTACCAATGAACGATGAAAAATATGAACTGTTATTCTAAAGCTGATAGAAAGATGTGATTTTTATGTCCATTTCCATCATCTGCACAATGTAACCTTTAAAACTATTTCTTAAAGTGTTAAGTTTAGTGGAGCAAAAGAAGTATTGAAAAATGATCAGAAAGTTCACAGAAACCTTACAAACTCACGTGTCATCTGATGAAATGTTCTCAGAGAGCCTGCGGTTTTTCACACTCCCAGCAACCTCCTGGTCATCGCTCCACAGCAAGAGACATGGCTGACGAGATGATCCTCTTCCAGTTGGCTGGACAAATGTTGGTATCAGCATAACTTACAAGTCTTTCTATGTAAATCTGCAAAATAGAGCACTGGCCTTTGATTCAGCTTAGTTTGAGTGCTGTAGTAAGAACTCTCAGGAACGACAAGTTTCTTCTTGTTTTGACCAGAAAGTACCTGCCTTTTATTCCTATGTTCTCCAGAGACTTTGCTTGATCAGGCAGAGCAAGAAGCCGAATCACAATCATAGGTCAGATACTTCTGCTACCTACTCTGCCCATAGAAATGCACAGGCCAATTTTGGTCACAAGAATGACGGTACCGGCCGGGCGCGGTGGCTCAAGCCTGTAATCCCAGCACTTTGGGAGGCCGAGACGGGCGGATCACGAGGTCAGGAGATCGAGACCATCCTGGCTAACACCGTGAAACCCCGTCTCTACTAAAAAATACAAAAAACTAGCCGGGCGAGATGGCGGGCGCCTGTAGTCCCAGCTACTCGGGAGGCTGAGGCAGGAGAATGGCGGAAACCCCGCAGGCGGAGCTTGCAGTGAGCTGAGATCCGGCCACTGCACTCCAGCCCGGGCGACAGAGCGAGACTCCGTCTCAAAAAAAAAAAAAAAAGAATGACGGTACCTCTCAGCCAAGGGCATCATGAAAAGAGGCAGTGTTGTCACCCTCACGCTCATAAAGGGGAGCACACACACGGGCCCAGTGTGGATTAAAGTCATTCAGTAAATCCTCAAGTACCTACCACATGTAATGTCTCAGCCTGGCGGGTAGGCAGATGGGAACTTTACAAGTACATGAAGCTTGAATATGTTCAACCCATGTGATAGTGAGCAAATGTTGATCTTTTCACAAAAACACCCTTCTATATAGGGCACGAGCTTAAAAAACTGCTGGTCAAGAGAGCCTCCCAGTGGCTGCTGTGCAGAGCAGCATGGCAGGCGCAGGTCTCTGGGGCTGTAAAATATTCCCCATAGTCAGTTGCTGGCTTGATAAGGAACACATATATATAAAGAAAGGTCCTTCTCACAGCCCCTATTTCTCACATCTTCATGATCACATCATAAACATTGCTCTGTCTTACATCATCTGCAACTGACACAATTCTGTTGGTTTTAAGGTGGACACAGCTGCCAGTCTGTGTACCCTGGGATTCCTCTAAACCTGCCAAGCAGTTTGTGAGACAATCTCATGAATCACTTTACATCTATCAAACATCTACCCTACAAAGAACTGGGCAAAGTGGACGGCTGAGTAAAGATTAAAGGTGAGCTGCGAGGTGTTGCTACCTCAGAGGGTGCTCTGCAGAAGCGTATATCCATGAGCTACTTGAACTGTTTAAGTCAAAACAAAAGGAAAAAAGCTTATTTTAAGCAAGTTTATTTCTTGTCTGGTGGTTATCAGATGGGAGAACATTGCCAGATCTAAGCTACCAAACTCAAATATGTTTTCAAAAACAAATGGTTATTGAACATCACATTTTACAGAGATTCTGCTCCCTTTCTCCCAAACTCTGTGCTCTCAAGTATTATTTTTTTGTTTTGCTTTGTTTCGTTGTTGTTGTTGTTGTTGTTTTGAGATGCTATTTCACTCTTGTTGCCCAGGCTGGAGTGCAATGGCCCGATCTCAGCTCACTGCAACCTCCGCCTAGCAGGTTCAAGCGATTCTCCTGCCTCAGCCTCCTGAATAGCTGGGATTACAGGCATGTGCCACTACACCCGGCTAATTTTGTATTTTTAGTAGAGATGGGGTTTCTCCATGTTGGTCAGGCTGGTCTCAAACTCTCAACCTCAGGTGATCCGCCTGCCTTGGCCTCCCAAAGTGCTGGGATTACAGGCATGAGCCACCACATCTGGCTCAGGTATTTCAAGAATGAACCTCCCTTTCTGGGATCAATGGTACAGGAATCAGAGAGCACTGGAACAACATTAGCAAGCCCTCTGCTTCCCATCCCCTTTCCTCCTAAGCTGCTGACCTGCTGACACTCATCCATGCCATGTGCTCTTCTGAGTCAGTTTGAGACAGAATTCTTTATTCCCACTGATGCCAACTCTTCCCTCAGTGCAGTTGATCCCACCTCACTTTTGCAGAACACTGTTCCCACAATCACCCCTTTTGAAGATTTTCTTCCTCTCTACCGGAGATTTCCCCCAAATTGTGTTTCCTTTGTTCCCATCCCACTCCCCACTACACTCTAAGTGTGTCCTCTCACTGGTGTCACAGCACCATGCCCTCATGCCAGCTCCTCAGCTTCCATCTCTCCTTCACCTCCACTGCCTGCCCTGCTGACATGACTCTCTCAAGGCTCCTCCTGCCAAGGCCTCTGGTGCCATCATGCTGACAAACTGGAGCTCTTCATACATTGCCATTTGCCTCAGTGCTGGGGCCAAATACCTGCATTTCAGTTACCCTGCTCCTATCTGTGTGCAATGCCTGTTATGTCTACCTTCATTGATCGTCGGCCTGGTCTGATCATGAGCCATAATCTGTCGCTGCTCACCTGTATTACCCTAGCTGCTTCTTAACCCTCTTCTCTGCCTCTCCACTATGGCCTGTAGTCCCCAAAGCAGTCAGCATAACCTCTTCATTTAAAGCATGGCACTCCCCTGCTCGAGATCTACCATGAATTTCCCATCAAACTGAGTTTGAGTAAAACCTTAATTTCTTCCTATGGCCTGCAAGCCAAAGGGCCCTAGGAGCTATGGCACCACCTGTGGGGCCTCATCTCTGCTGTTCCCCTCATTCTTCACTCTGACCATGCTGGTCACCTTGCTGTTGGTTCCTCAGACACACATGAAATGCATTTCTGTCTTGGCAGTCATCTTTTTGCCTGTCATGACAGCACTGTTTCCCGTCCTGGCTTCAGTCAGGTCACTGTTCAAATGTCAGCTCTCCAGAGAGGCTCTTCCTTATCATTCCACCTAAAATAGCCCCCAATCACTCTGTGTCCCTTTATCCCACTATTTGATACTACTTGAAAAAATAGTTAAGTTTGTTCTTACTAGAACATAAGCTCATGAAAGCAAGAACTGTGATCCACGTGTCCTCTCCTCTACCCTGGCACTTAGAAGAGAGTCAGTATCCAGTGAGTGTTCATGAAATAAGTCACTTAGCCGCATTTAGCTCTGTGACCACAGCCTCTCCTATCTTGAACTCTTTCTCCTTTTATCATCTTCTCCTGCTTTTCTTCCTCCTGTTCTCATAGCCACTCCTCTGGCAGCTGGTCCCTTCAATGACCATAGTCCTTACAGGCCCATTTTCGGTTCACTTTATCTTTTTCTGAGATAGGGTCTCACTCTGTTGCCCAGGCTGGAGTGCAATGACATGAACACAGCTCACTGTAGCCTCCACCTCCTGGGCTCAAGTGATCTTCCTGCCTCAGCCTACAATGTACCTGAGGCCACAGGCATGTGCCACCATGTTCAGCTAATTTCTTGATTTTTTTTTTTTTTTTTTTAGTAGAAATGGGGTCTCATTTTATTGCCCAGGCTGGTCTTGAACTCCTACACTCAAGTAATCCTCTCACCTTGGGCTCCCAAAGTGCTAGGTTTACAGGTATGAGACACTGTACCTAGCCTTATTTTATATTTTCTTAAGATACCGGGTCTCATCATATGGCCCAGGCTGAACTCAAACTTCTGGGCTCAAGTAATTCCTCCATCTCAGCCTCCCAGGTAGCTAGGACTAAAGGCATGTCCATTTTCAAAACTCTCCCTTTTCCAATCCAGCTTTCCCTCCAGCATCATCTATCTCTCTGCATCTGGAAGCACCACTCCTGCTTCACTCCAGCATGTGCTTAGCGTTCCAAATGACTTGCAGCTGTTGGAAAATGGCCTGTATCTGGTCCAGTGCCCATTGAGGGCTTTGATTCTAGTGCACAGCAGGAGCCTTCTCCCCTCAACTCTTAACTGGATGCTAAAGAAGTAAGTAAACCAAATCTCTTTTCACTCTTCTAACCATACATTGAAACACAAGAACATTTTATAAAGCAGTAGTGATGGGCAATAAAGTCTTTAGAACTTTAATGAATGTGAATGTGATTCAGATTTCCTAGCTTTCTTTCTCCTTAGATCTCTGTAGCATATTCTCATGAAGTATTTATTTATTTCCAGTAGTTTGAATTAAAAACTCATCTGCCTTTTTATTGTAAAAGAAGCCAGTCTTTGATGAGCTTTAAACTTCGTAAAACTAATGCATCATGCCTATTTGATAAACCAGTGGTTCTCCAAATGTGCTCCATGGACCTCTGGGATCCCCAAGACCCTTTTCCAAAAGCCTAAGAGGTCAAAACTGTTCTGATAATAATACTAATTCACCCTGAGAAACCTAATAGAAAACTTTTTTAAATTGTGAAAGTAATGCAAAGACATTGCCTGCTTTTTCACTGATGCTGCCATGACTGTATAAAAGCAAAAGTGTGTAAAACTGCTGGTTTCTCAGAATAAATCAAGGCAGTGGTACCAAACTACACTAGTAGTCATTCTATTCTTTACTGTCCCTTACAGCTAAAAAAAGATAGCCTGAATTTCTTAAGAATGTCTTTGATGAAGCAGTAAAAATTAATGGTGTTATTAAATCTTAACGTTTCTTTTTAATATTCTAAACAAGTGGAAAGTTAACAAGAAGCACTTCTGCTTACTACAGTACGGTTGCATTTAAAAAAAGAATTTGTGATTTAATTGTGAACTGAATAATCACTTTTTTCATGGAACATCATTTTTATTTAAAAATACAACTGGGCCAGCGCAGTGGCTCATGCCTGTAAAATTCCAGCACTTTGGGAGGCTAAGACAGGCAGATTGCTTGAGCTCAGGAGTTCGAGACCAGCCTGGGCAACATGATGAAACCCTGTCTCTACCAAAAATACAAAAACAACTAGCCAGGCATGGTGCCACATGTCTGTGGTCCCAGTTACTCAGGAGGCTGAGGCAAGAGGATTGCTTGAGCCCAGGAGACAGAAGTTGCAGTGACCTGAGATCATGCCAATGCGCTCTAGCCAAGGGAGAGAGTGAGACTTGGTCTAAAAAAAAAAGTACAACTATCATTCTCAAAAACAAAATGAGGCTGTCACTTCAAGGAAAGTAAGTCTTTGTTCCCAATGATAAAATTTAAGCTTTCATGAGGACTTTGAAAAACTTGTTCCTTCAACCGTAAGCATGACAGCTTCTTGATACTTAGACTTTTTAAAATAAGATTGGTGGTTATATTAACAAAAGTGAGTTTTTGACACAATAAAACATAAACCAATATTTTCCAAATAACTTATGCATACTATTATAAAAGCAAGTATGGAAGGAAAGATCCATTTATCGTGCAAGAAAGATCAGTGAACACTGATGGAATACATTTATTAATATGTGAAATGTCACTCTAACAAACTAGCACTTGTAAAGTTTTGATTTAATATTAAAGAATACCCACAACTGTCTGAAAGAATTAAAAATAACCTTTTATCAACTACATATTTGCACGAGGCCACATCATCTTATTGTTTCTTTGAAACAAATTGCCAAGAAAGAGAATCCAGCTGTCTTCTATTAAGCTCAACATTAGAGATTTTCAATAATATAAATACATGACACACTTTTTACTCAACTTCTAGAGAAAAGTATTTTCTCCTAAAAAAATTATGTTAGCAATATCATTCTCAAGGAATATTTTCTGTTGTCACAATCTGGGTTATGGGTTACTGCTGACATCTAGTTGGTAAAGGCCATCAGTGCTGTTAAACTTTCTGCAATGCAACGGACAGTCCTCACAGCAAAGCATTATCTAGTTCATAATATCAATAGTGGTAAGCTTGTGAAATCTAAACCAAAAATAGATTTTGAAAAAAGTCAATTTTATATTTCTCACACAATAAATATCAATATAATCAATATAAACACATACTTGTTGGGTTTCCCAATAATTTAAGAATTAAAAGAGTCTTAAGGACCACAGAAAACACAAATAATTTGCTTCAATATTTTAGTAGGCACAATACAGTTGATGATGTCTGTAGCTGTGACTTAACACTGAGCTTGATATCATGCAAAGTAATTAGCTGGAATAACAAGACAGGTTTTTTAAAAGGTCACCTGTATCTGATGTAATAGTGTATTGCTATGGTGACATTGTGGAAAGAAAAAGTATTCATAACAATAGATGTTATCATTTGTTAGGCCTGAAGACATTTTTTTAAGTGGCGAGTTTTTTAGAACTCTCCTAGTGGCCCTGAAATTAAAATCTTCTAGTTCAGAACAGTATCATGAGGGCACTTTCCTGTTTTAGTTTTTTGGCTTTAGCAAAAATATGAGAACCAAAATGCTAGGCAATATGCTGTTAGAAGACGTGTTTTTGTTGATGATTATAATATACAAACAGTAACATAGTTGCCTGTTATATGTTCTTCTACCTACAAAACCTTTCATGCCATGCAATTTATTTTGTTTATTTATTTGTTTTTTGAGACAGAATCACTCTGTTGCCCAGGCTGGAGTACAGTGGCACAATCTCAACTCACCGCAACCTCTGTCTCCCAGGTTCAAGCAATTCTCATGCCTCGGCCTCCCAAGTAGCTGGGACTGCAGACTTGCACCATCACACCCAGTTAATTTTTGTATTTTTAGTAGAGACAAGGTTTCGCCATGACAGCCAGGTTGGTCTCAAACTCCTGGCCTCAAGTGATCGAACTGCCTCAGTCTCCCAAAGTGCTGGGATTATAGGCATGAGCCACCATGCCCACTCATGTAATTTATATCTATGTGTACATATGCTTAAATTTAAGCCATACAGTAATGTTTTCTAAGATGTTAGGCCCTGTATTTTAGTTTAGTTCACTATCTCCTAAACACCCATTTTTTTATTGTTTCCCTAAAAATACATAATAAAAGTAACTTATAACAAATAAAAGTATTTGAAATCACTTTTGCATAATAATTAGTAAATGTATTTGTAGGAGTTCGGTCAGGGTGGTGGGAGAAATTATAAGAGAAAATTATAGGAAAAATGCAAACCTTCTTGGAAGGCCAGAAGTTTTTGCAAAAGCTTTAGGAAAGGGTTATGGCTGAAGGCAGCCTGATCCTCTTACCTTGAGTTAACAGTAAAAAGCAAATAATAAGGGAATGTAGAGGAGTTTATCTAAATAGCTTGTTTTCTCATTTTGTCCTAAGACTGACCTTTGATTATTTGCATGTAGGACTGCTGTCTCCCAGAGGGTGACCATGCTAATTATCCACAAGTGTGTTGAGTCAAAGCCTTTGTCATTAAATCTGTGCTGAATAAATGCCAGTAGTGCCAGCTTGTCAGGGCCATGGCTGCTGACTCTTTACAGCACCCTCCTCAGTGTCTGTGAGTGGCCTGGTCTCCTAGCCCGCTCGTTCACTGGATACCTGTGTCTGAGTGCATTCCTTCATCCATCATTCAGCCAGGGTCTGCGGGTTGGAACCGGCATGTATTAGTAAACATAAGTACACATGAGATCAACAATAGGTACAGCGATCCTACAATAAGCAGTGCTAACAAAGCAGTATAACACTACACAGTGTAATATTAATGGCAGGTACTTTCAATTAGTTGAAGTGAAATATTTCTGAACAGATACAACTCTTCAGATATGTTACTGTATCCCTAAGTTATCCACAGATGCTTTGTATCAGAAAACAAGAGGTTCTCTTACATAAGTTATGTGCTTCCATTTGCCCTCAGCATCTAGAATGAGGCTCAAAATAATTGAGGGAAGGCAAATCTGAATTTCAATAGTAGGTCTATACAATATTAGCACTTTTTAAAAAGCCTGTAACATTTAAGATGGATATGTCTATAGTACTTCAAGTAGTTTTCATCTCTGAAATAACTTTAGAAACACAGAATTTGATGTTACATGGTGAAAAGGACCCATGACCTTACATGACATTTAATCCACACTCATTTTACAGATAATGGTAACAACCCTTAAAACTGACTTGCCCAAGGTCCCACCAAATAGGAGCAGTTTGTCATCCTAAACTCAAATTAGGCGGTGGCTCTCAAACTTTGCTGCACATTAAAATCACCTGAGGAGCTTTAGTCACTGCCTCACTTTCAACATGAGACATTTTGATTTCATTAGCATTGGGTATGACCTTGGGCACAGGGTTAGTGTTAAAAGCTTCCCAGGTGATTTCAATGTACAGCAAAGTTTGGGAATGATTGAGTTGGGATTAAAATCAGAATCTTCTGGGACGCTTTCCTCCCTATAAAGATGCCTCACCGGGTGGATTGCCTGAGCTCAGGAGTTCAAGACCAGCCTGGGCAATACGGTGAAACCCCATCGCTAGTTAGCCTGGCAAGGCAGTGTGCACCTGTAGTCCCAGCTACTCAGGACACTGAGGCAGGAGAATTGCTAGAACCCAGGAGGCGGAGGTTGCAGTGAGCCAAGATCGCGCCACTGCACTCCAGCCTGGACGACAGAGTGAGACTCCATCTCTAAAAATAAAAATAAAAATAAATAATAATAATAATAATAAAGATGCCTCACATCCATCCCTCTTTTCCTAAAAGGCTTCTCAGTGCCTAGAGATAGAGGGAAGGTGGAGGTGGAAACATATATGGGTTTGCAGACATATATTTGGAAAAAACCTGGCATAACTGATCCCAGTGAGTTCCACCTGTCCCACTGACAACAATGCACTACTAACCCGTGATAAACATTTTTCTGAATCTTTTCTTGAAGGCATTTTGCCCTATTAATTTGCTTGATAAACCTTCATTTCATCAATAGTCAATATACCAAATGATCACTTCTCAAATTTGCTGATGGCAAATTAAAACTTACTTTACTTCCAAAAGTGGACTTCTAAAAATTAGAATAATGAAGATAAAAGCATGAAATTTATTTGTTTGAGCAAGATTAATCCTTAAAACTACTTTTGAATTATATACTAACATATCAAAATATTTTGAATTCAAAAGAAGCCAGGGACTCTAGCCAAAGTAGAGTGATTTTTTTTTTTCGCAAGAATTTATAGACCTGGCTGAAGACAGACATTTAGTGATTACTCAATAGGTCCCAAAGCCCTGCACTTGACACAGAGTTTGAGTCCACTTTTTGCTGAAACACAGTTTTATCGCAACTATCGTTAAAAGTGAGAGAGGAAAGTGACATTATGAGTGTAAACTTGTCATTTTTTAATTAAAGTAAAAGTTACTGACAATTGAATTAGCTAAAACCGAGTGCATTAGGAACAAAATTGTTTATAAGCTAGTTATGTTCATAGAATGAAAAGTAAAATTAAAGACATTAATATTCTAAATTACCACTTTCCAAACTGTGTTATAAAATCAACACTCACAATCCAAGGAGATGATAATGATATAGTCTGGACAACCCCAATGGAGCTGGTGTTATTGTTGGTTGTTGTTCCTTTTAAAATAAATTTCATCTTAGGGTGCTCTAAAAGTGCACCTTTGATTGTGGCCCATGAGGTGCTCATGCACAATAAGAGAAATTCAAATGCAGGTACACAATGGTGCCACCTAAGAGAAAAAGCTGTTCCTTCTTCAAAGATTAGTATCCAAAGTAGTACACATTGATTTAGGCCTGTAATTCATTTAAAAACTAATTTTTCACAAAAAAAATTCCACAAAGGGAACCTAGCCTCCTCATTGTGTTCAACATTGTCTAAGGCAAATGGTATCAAATAAATAGCTACACTTTTTCTGGGATGGCTTATTTGCTAACCAATTTTTCCTTCTACCATGACATCTAAGATTAAAAGAGAAATTGATACTTAATATTTAGAATCTAGATATCAATATATAGTTGATTCCAATTTTTTAAACTGATGGCTGAAAAGGACAACCAAATGGCTGAAATCATTTTAGAATAAGGGGTCTGTCCCTTGACATTATAGTTGAACTCACGATTTTACTGTCATTGTTTAAGATGAGGCTGGCTGGCTGTGCTGTCATCAAGGAATATTGTGGAGCATGAACTATATTTTTCAAAAAATGCTCAGTAGATACCTGAAGGGAAAGGGAAGTATAAGTTAAACTTATCAACATGTATTTTTTTTTCTTGGTTAAAATGTCAGATGACAAAGCACTAACATATTTCTTACACTCCGTGAACTGCCTGAGTGTGGTATCATGTACACTCTACAGAAAACCCATTGGAGGCTCTTAACTTCCACAGATGATGTTTGAGAAAGGGTTATTATAAAATGCTACCCTTAATGTGGTACCTATCATCAAACCTAGCAAGGATTTTATGAATTCCCTTTATAAATAATGAGAAAGGTTTAAAATTAGATTTCATTGTTTCTTAAGTAATACAAATCAGCTGAGAATTTCTATTTCTATTGATTTACTGCAATAAAATGTAATATTGTAAAATAACATTGGTACAAGAGCATTTTATTGCAATGAATATAAGACTAGTGCATTTACTAAGTTACCAATTCTAAGTGTATCATTTCAGGAGATATAGTGACAAAACAAGTGTTTTAGATTCAGAGACACTGTGTGCCAGGGCTGCTAGATCACCAAAAAGGGAGGAAGCCATCAGTTTCTCTAGTCCAGTTTTCTTACGTGGAGGATAAAAAGAGTATCACTTTAGTATTCTCTCACACACCCTAAAAATGTAAGGATGACAATGTAATAAATAAAAATGTAATAAGATGACAAAGACAACTTAAAAAATGTAACTTTCACTTCATGTTTACATAAGACTGCCATGACATCACTCAAGTGAGACTCTCAGAGAATACTTTCCATTCATTTCAAACGTTGATTAATTTCATTCTATGAATCATTTGACCTGCACCTAGGCATTTTCCTGCTACACTCCTGCTGTCTGCCTAGAATACTTCTTTTCTCTTTCCTTGTTTCAGCAAGCTTGACTCCGTCTACCCTCTTGAATCTCTTTGCCAGGAGCCACACCAAAAAATGGTTTTTGTACACTATTCGGTCAAATTCACCACCTGTTACATGATACTAATTCTTGCAGAGTATTCCCCTCTTAAAAAAGTATGCCTCTCCACGGAAGGGAGGACCCTTACGCTTCCTACCTCCAGCTGCTGAGCATAGAATTTTGGATAAATCAAAAAGTTCAACAAGTGTTTGACAAATTAATTCAGTTATAATTTGGAAGATAAGTCTTACTACATTTAATTACAGCAAAAACACTACTAACAGTTTACTGTTTATAGGTATTATTTAAGGTAGTCACAAAATGGGAACAAATACTCTAACTTCATTCAGTCAGTGTAGATAACAGAGTATGAAATTTTCCAATCTTTAACAAGAAATGGAAGGAGTTACTTAGCAGTCTTAAAGTTTAATAACAAAAACTAGAAAATAATCATACCTACTAATCTAGTAAGTCAAAACCAATGCCTTACTAGCAAAGGTCCAGTACCTGTTGGACACCAATGCCCACCCACTGACTTCTTCCACTGTACCTGCTGCCTCTCATTTTAACCCATTAAAAATACTAAAGTTGTTTTCCTTGTAGAGGTCTTTCACCTCCTTGGTTAGGTGTATTCCTAAGTGTTGTGTTTTATTTATTTATTTTTTTGGCAGCTATTGCAAAAGGGCTTAAGTTCTTGGTTTGATTCTCAGCTTGATCGCTGTTGCTGTATAGCTAAGCTATTGATTTGTGTACATTAATTTTGTATCCTGAAACTTTGCTGAATTCATTCATCAGTTCTAGGAGCTTTTTGGACGAGTCTATAGTGTTTTCTAGGTATACGATCATATCATCAGCAAACAGCAACAGTTTGACTTCTTCTTTACTGATCTGGATGTCCTTTTTTGTTGTTTTTTGTTTTTTCTTGTTGTTGTTGTCGTTGTTGTTTGTTTGTTTTTTGAGACAGAGTCTTGCTCTGTCGCCCAGGCTGGAATGCGGTGGCGCGATCTCGGCTCCCTGCAACCTCCACCTCCCAGGTTCACGCCATTCTCCTGCCTCAGCCTCCCGAGTAGCTGGGACTACAGGCGCCCACCACCATGCCCGGCTAATTTTTTGAATTTTTGGTAGAGACAGGTTTTCACCGTGTTAGCCAAGATGGTCTCGATCTCCTGACCTCGTGATCATCCTGCCTTGGCTTCCCAAAATGCTGGGATTACAGGCGTGAGCCACCGCGCTCGGCCTGGATGTCCTTTATTTCTTTCTCTTATCTTACTGCTCTGGCTAGGACTTCCAGTACTATGTTGCATAGAAGTGGTGAGAGTGGGCATCCTTGTCTTATCCCAGTACTCAGGGGGAATGCTTTCAACTTTTCCCCAATTCAGTATTATGTTGGCTGTGGGTCTGCCATAGATGGCTTTTATTACATTGAGGTATGTCCCTTGTATGCAGATTTTGCTGAGGGTTCTAATCATAAAAGGATGTCAGATTTTGTCAAATGCTTTTCCTGTGTCTATTGAGACGATCACGTGATTTTTGTTTTTAATTCAGTTTATGTGGTGTATCACATTTATTGACTTGCATATGTTAAAACATCCCTGCAACCCTGGTATGAAACTCACTTGAACATGATGGATTGTCTTTTTGATATGCTGCTGGAAACCACAAAACATTCCTGAAAGGAATCATAGATGACACAAATAAATGGAAACACCCCATGCTCATGGATGCATAGAATCAATATTGTGAAAATGACCTACTGCCAAAAGCAATCTAAAGATTCAGCGCAATTCCCATCAAAATACCATCATCATTCTTCACAGAACTAGAAAAAACAATTCTAAACTTCATATGGAACCAAATAATAGCCCACATAGCCAAAGCAAGACTAAGTAAAAAGAACAAATCTAGAGGTATTGCATTATCTGATTTCAAACTATACTATAAGGCCACAGTCACCAAAATAGTATGATACTGGTATAAAAATAGGCACATAGGCCAATGGAACAGAATGGAGAACCGAGAAATAAACCCAAATACTTACAACCAACTGATCTTCAACAAAGTGAAGAAAAACATAAAGTGGAGAAAGGACACCCTTTTCAACAAATGGTGCTGGGATAATTGGCTAGCCACACGTAGGAGAATGAAACTGGATCCTCGTCTCTCACCTTATGCAAAAATTGACTCAAGATAGATTAAGGACTTAATTCTAAGACCTGAAACTATAAAAATTCTAGAAGATAACATCGGAAAAACCCTTCTAGACATTGGCTTAGGCAAGGATTTCATGACCAAGAATCCAAAAGCAAATGCAATAAAAACAAAAAATAAATAGCTGGAACTTAAACTAAATAGCTTTTGTACAGCAAATGGAACAGTCAACAGAGTAAACAGACAACCCACAGAGAGTAGGAGAAAATCTTCACAATCTATATATCTGACAAAGGACTAATATCCAGAATCTACTATGAACTCAAGCAAATCAGTTCCATCAAAGAAAAAAACAAACAATCCCATCAAAAAGTGGGCTAAGGACATGAACAGACAATTCTCAAAAAAGATACACAAATGGCCAAGAAACATGAAAAAATGCTCAACATCACTAATGACCAGGGAAACGCAAATCAAAACCACCTTACTCCTACAAGAATGGCCATAATCAAGAAATCAAAAAATAGTAGATGTTGGCATGGCTGCAGTGAACAGGGAAAACTTCTACACTGCTGGTAGGAATGTAAACTACTACAACCACAGTGGAAAACAGTGTCGAGATTCTTTAAAGAACTAAAAGTAGAACTACCATTTGATCCAGCAATCCCACTACTGGGTATCTACCCAGAGGAAAAGAAGTCATTATATAAAAAAGATACTTGCACATGCATGTTTATAGCAGCACATTTTGCAACTGCAAAAACGTGGAACCAACCCAAATACCCATCAGTCAACAAGTGGATAAAGAAACTGTGGTATATATATGATGGTATACTACTTAGCCATAAAAAGGAATGAATTAATGGCATTTGCAGCCACCTGGATGAGACTAGAGACTATTATCCTAAGTGAAGTAACTAAGGAGTGGAAAACCAAACATCATGTTCTCACTTGTAAGTGGAAGCTAAGTTATGAGGATGCAGAGGCATAAGAATAACACAATGGACTTTGGGGACTTGGGGGGAATGGTGGGGGGGGCGCAAGGGATAAAAGACTACAAATAGGGTGCAGTGTATACAGCTCAGATGATGGGTGCACCAAAATCTCACAAATCCCCACTAAAGAACTTACTCATGTGACCAAACACCATCTGTTCCCCAATAACCAATGGAGATTTTTTTTAAAAAATCAGCAAAAAGCAAGAAAACTCATTATGAGCATGGAAACCTAAGATAATTAACATTAAATTTAAATATATTGAAACAATAAGAGAATTCGGCAAGAAGCAATGTTAGGGGATAAAAACCAAAAGCTTTTCTTTAACACCTGCAGCAATGGGCTTGACCCGCCTTAGAACCCTCACGCCTGGGGGCGCCAGGACAGGGTCCGGTGGACTGTGAAGAGACAAGGTGGAGGTTCCAGGTTGAAAATGTATAAAATTGTAAAGTAAATTAAAAGTTACATCATTTCAATGCTAAATACTTCGGTAGTGATTCCTTTTTTTAAAAAATCAATTTTTCTGCAAAATTCTTAATCTTTTTTGACAGTTCACAAAAGTAATGGTACTTTTTTTCAATATTTGCAATTCCCAATCCGTATTCAGCTTCCCAATTGTCTCCGAAAGTCTTATGCAAAAAAAAAAATGCTGGTTCAACCGGGAACCAACGGAGGGCTACTCTTTATATTTGTCAGTAGCGTTCAAGTTTTAACCTTTAACTTCTCCCTGTTCTTAGAGCGCCTGAGAGGAGACTCTTCATAAAAACTCCACCCCGCCAGTTCTGAATCGCCGAAACGTGAGGAGTCACGTCGAAAGCGGACGCAAGAGCTTATGGGAAATGTAGTCCTGAACGAGTCTGGTTCGCCGCGCAGCACTCTGGGATGGGGCTACTGGGCTCCTTCTGCGCCTGTGCAGCCGAAGCCCCGCCGCCTCATTTGAGTTCTCGGGACTCCGGGGTAGCGGTTTGGGGAGCTCTGGGGTCGGCTCGCAAAGTAGAGGGGGCGGAGCTGGGGCGGCAGGGCCGCGTTTGTGCCGGGAGTGGGAGAGGAAGCGGGAAGTTCGTGGAATCCCCGCACCCAGTGTCAGTGGATGCGGCCGGGCGGGCCCTCGGCCTTCCCGGCCGGTGGAGAGAGACCCCGGCTACTGGCTCCCGGGGCGGCTGGGGCTGAGCGCGGGTCGGGAGCAGGTGCTGGGTGCGGGCCGTGGTGTGCGGGACGGGAGCCTGTTGCGAGCGGCGGCGGGAGGGGAAAGCGCGTTTGTAGCGCGGGCGACAACGTGCCCGAAATCCCCGGACGGTGGGTCTGCATCGAGACCCCGAGCTCTGGAGCTGGAAAAACCCAGGTAAGTTCAGCTCTGTCAACTGCAAGCCTAGGCGAATGCAGGGACCTGGATGAGAGTCAGGTTTCTCATCTGAAAGTGAGGGTATTAGTAATGACTGTTTCATGGCGTTGTTTTAAAACTTTATGTCACCACCTGTAAAGCAAACAGCCGACTGTAGGCTGCTAAGCCATGAGCGACTGTTGCTGTTATATTTAGAAGACACTTTTTTCTGTTCATTGGGTGCCTTATGTAAACCTCACAACCACATCTGCATTAAATATAACAACTGAGGCTCAGGTCACAAGCTAGCAGTGAGGGAGCTGGGGTTCAAGGGCACGTGTGATTTATTTCCCGTTTCAGGCGCTAATATCACACCTGCCTATAACCAGCATTGCAGCCTTCACAGCACTTAGCAGAATGGCATGTCCCCAAATACTCAGGGAGTGGATGTAGATGGAATCTTACCATATGTCAAATGTCGTCTGGATTTCTGGTGTGTCTTCAGATCTCTTGGGTCAGACAGGTTCTTGGCCCCTTCTGCATCGTCAGGGTGTCTCTCTTTTAAGTCTGATATGATGAATTCTAAGAGTCAGATTTTTGGCACTAACATGGTTTCTCAGGTCAGGTCGCAGGCTCCTTGAACGGAGCAGCCCTTGCGACTTGGGAAGCAGGGGCCTCTGTGAACAGTTTTACCTGGAAGAGAACCCCTCTCAGACCTAGACCTCCCTCCCGAGCTTCAGAGCAGAGGCAGAAGAGGCCACAGAGGAGCAGATCCTGGACGTGTATGGTCAGAAGCAGTTCTTGATCCTACTTCCCAGATAGAGCCAGACTTGTTGGTGAAGCCTCCAGAAGCCACCACAGAATGGGTGACAGTGGGTGGTTTGGGCCAGCTTTGAGAAGAGCAGAATGAGCTGGGTGGGGGCCAGGGACAGGCTGCTCAGAAAAGGCCACATCATTGCAGAAGTCTGGGGGTAGGGGTAACCAAAGAGTCTGTCCCCAGATCCCAAAGTAGCCGCCAGTCCCTTTGTTCTCCACTCTTTACAGATGCCATACTGCTGTTAACACATGTGACACTGGAGAATCCCAGCATGATGATACATGAAGGGTTTTCTGTGGTTATCTACTTCTGATTCTTTTGAAAGCTTTAAAGACATTGGGCATGAAAGGTTCAGTGAGTTTCCAGGGACCCCTCGTTTGTGGCAGGGCCAGGAGGAAAACAGTTCCGTTCATTCTTTCACAGGTGAGTCACCAAAAACATCTTATCCAAAGGGCCTTTTGAGAAATACATCCCAGTTAAAACATCTACAACTCTTTGCCTTAAAGTAGCTCATCTCTTTTACAAGACTTTCTGTGGATTGTCTATACCAAGGGTAAACAGTATTACTAAGAAAAATAATTAAATGATGCACACTGAATATTTTTCTGTTAATTTAGTGTTTCAGAGACAGAGTCTCATCCTGTTGTCCAGGCAGGAGTGCAGTGGCACAAACACGGCTGACTGCAGCCTCTACCTCCTGGGCTCAAGTGATCCTCCTGCCTTAGCCTCCCAAGTAGCAGGGACCACAGGCACCTGCTACCACACCTGGCTAATTTTTTAATTTTTTATTTTCTGTAGAGACAGGATCATACCATGTTGCCCAGGTTGGTCTTGAACTCCTGAGCTCAAGCCATCCTCCCTCTTTGGCCTCCTGAAGTGCTGGGGTTACAGGCATGAACTATGGTGCCTGCTAAGTTAATTTTAGTGAAAGAATAGTGTCTTATCCTGTGGTGTACTTTAGTTCAACTAATCTTCTATTGTCTTTATTTTTTTGTGTGAGTTAAAAGCACATGTGCATTATTGTTAAATCAACTGGGCAAAGTTTATGTTCACTCAATAAAAAATAGCAGTTTAAGCCCCAAAACTATTTCAGAGTTGTCGTAGAGACAGTACCACCTCTACGTGGTGCTTCTCATGTTTTTTCAAGGCCTGAAGGGCCCTGTCACCTTAGGAAGGCTGCTCCCCAACTGGGTTGCTGAGATTTGGGGAGGTGAATCTAGGTAGGCCAGACCGTGTGACCTCCTCTTTCTGTCCCCCCAGCTGAGGCTTCACAGTTCTCTACACTCTCCCAAGAGCCACAGAAAATGAACACATTTCAGGTAAGCTCTTTATTCATTCCCCACTTTGTATTGTAATGTATTTATGAGGTCCTTGCATTAAATGGAAAAGGAGAAATAGATCGAGTAAATCTTGAGGGAAAATATATACAGTTTTACCATGAACTCTTTTGTTTGCTGTCAGCTTTTGGTCAGGGTTAGTAGGTTCCCTCCAGTTACCAGTTTGCCAAGATCTCGTGTTAGTTATAAATGCACATTGAATTATATTAAATACTTTTTGTATATCTATTAGAATAAATCTATAGCTGTGTCCTTTAATGAATCTATAAATATTGTGAATAATATAATGGATTTTCTAAAAGTAACTTGAATTCCTGTATAGACCCTAGTTGCTAATGAGTGTAGTAACTTGCTTCTTACATGTTTTCCTAGCACTTTTTGGTAATAATGTAGGATTTTTTTTTCTGTGTTCACAAATTGGATTAAACTGTATTTTCCTGTTTCCCTGTTCAGTTAGGGTACCATGGTTGTCTCATGAAAGGAAATGGGGCACTTTTTCTTGTTTCTTCTTTTCTAATAATTTAGAAAAATGAGAAAATTGTGTTATATGTAGATTTTGTGAAACTCACCTATGAATTTGGACCTTGTGAAGACTTTCTGTGTGAAGATTTTGATTATTGAATAAATTTATTAATCAATTCATTACTCATCTTCTTATAAGCTTATACTGGATTTATACTTTCTCAATATAATTTTTGTCATTACATTTTCATAGAAAATTGTAATCATTTATATTTGTGTTTTATTTGCTTTTTTTTTTTAGATTTTTAGTTTATTGTTGGTTGACCGTTATCAAACAAGGTTTGTCTTTGTCAGTATGCCTTCACTTATAAATGTACAGAGACAGGGTATAAACCGAAAGGAAAATAAAATGAGATACTAAGATATTTTATTTTAAAAACCACCTTGCATACACAAATTATAAAAATTTATTATAATTTTCACACCACCTTGTCATCCTCGTGCTAATACCCTTTGACGCTGAAGATGCAACCTGCCTTCTTACTTAGCACTGTACTTAGATACATTTATTAAGATGAGAAAGTTTTCATAATGTATGTTTACTAAAACTGGAAAAATTTTCAATTTTAACATAAAATGTATTTGAAATTTTCAACTAAGATTCTGAACACTTTACTTTTACATTTTGTTTTTTGTATTTTACTATCCCAGAGTACAAAAGAAGTCAAGACAGGCCTTAACTAAAATGAAAGAGCAAGACTAAAATAATCATAATGAATGCTGTCTTTTCTTTATACTTAAAAACATTTCTTTGAAATGTTTTATTTCAATAGCTTTTGGGGTACAAGTGGTTTCTTGTTACATGGATTCATCTTGTTACATGGATGAATTTTACAGTGGTGAATTCTGAGATTTTAGTGCACCCATGGCCTGACAAGTGGTGTACGTTGTGCCTTATAGATAGTTTTTTATCCCTAGCACCTTTCCCTAGCCTCCCACCCTCCCGCTTCTTGGCCTCTAAAGTCCATTATGTCACTCTGTATGCCTTTGCATACTCATAACTTAACTCCCAGTTATAAGTGAGAACATATGGTTTGGTTTTCTACTCCTGTGTTACTTAGAATTGCAGCTCCACCCAAGTTGCCGCAAAAGACATTATTTCATTCCTTTTTATGGCTAAGTAGTATTCCATAGTGTATAGGTACCACATTTTCTTTATCCACTCAGTTGATGGGCACTTAGGTTGGTTCCACATCTTTGCAATTGTGAATTGTGCTGCCACAAACGTGTGCTGGTTTCTTTTTCATTGATGGTGACTTCTTTTCCTTTGGGTAGATACCCAGTAGTGGGATTGCTAAATGGAATGGTAGATCTACTTTTAGTTCCTTAAGGAATCTCCATACTTTTTACATAGAGGTTGTCCTAATTTACATTCCTGCCACCATTGTATAAGCATTCCCGTTTCTTCACATCCATGCAAATGTCCATTGTGTTTTGACTTTTTAATAAGGGCCATTCTTGCAGGAGTAAAGTGGTATCTCATTGTGGTTTTAATTTGCGTTTCCCTGATGATTAGCGGTGTTGAGCATTTTTTTCATATGTTTATTGGACATTTGTATATCTTCTTTTGAGAAATGACAATTCATGGCCTTCGCCCATTTTTTGTTGGGATTTTTTTTTCCTGCTGGTTTATTTGAGTTCCTTGTAAATTCTGGATACTTTGTCAGATGTCTAGTTTGTAAATACTTTCTCCCATTCTGTGGGTTGGCTGTTTACTCTGGTAATTATTTCTTTTGCTTTGTAGAAGCTTTTTAGTTTAATTAGGTCCAGTTAATTTATTTTTGTTTTTGTTGCATTTGTTTTTGGGGTATTAGTCATGAGTTCTTTGCCTAGGCTGATGTCTAGAAGAGTTTTTCAAATGTTGTCTTCTAGAATTTCTATGGTTTCAGGTCACAGATTTAAGTCTTTGATCCATCTTGAGTTGATATTTGTATAAAGTGAGAGATAGGGATCCAGTTTCATTATTCTACATGTGGTTTGCCACTTTCACCAGCACCATTAAACAGGTCAGGGGTCCCCAATCCACGGGGCCACTGACTGGTACTGGTCTGTTAGCAATGGAACGGCACAGCAGGAGGTGGGCAGCAGGCCAGTAAGCATTACTACCTGAGCTCCACCTCCTGTCAGATCAGCAGCATCAGATTCTTATAGGAGAGTGAACCCTATTGTGAACTGTACATGCAAAGAATCTAGGTTGCGTGCTCCTTATGAGAATCTAACTAATGCCTGATGATCTGAAGTGGATCAGTTTAATCTTGAAACCATCCCCACCCTTCCACCACTGGTCCATGGAAAAATTGTCTTCCTAGTTTCTTGAGAGTTTTTATTATATTGGTATGCTGGATTTTGTCAGATGCTTTTTCTACATCTATTGAGATGATTATGTGATTTTTGTTTTTTGTTATGTTATGTCATGTATCACATTTATTTACTTGCATGTGTTAAACCATCCCTGCATCCCTCAGGTGAAACCCACCTAATCATGATATGCTTTTTGATGTGCTATTGTATTCAGTTAGCTAGTGTTTTGTTGAGGATTTTTGTATCTATGTTCATCAGGGATATTGGTCTGTTGTTTCTTTAGTTGTATCTTTTCCTGATTTTGCTAGCAGAGTGATACTGGCTTCATAGAATGATTTAGGGAGGATTCCCTCTTTTGCAGTCTTTTGGAATAGTTTCTGCAGGATTGGGATCAGTTCTTTGAATATCTGGTAGAATTCAACTGTGAATCCTTCTGGTCCCAGGCTTTTTGTTGTTGTTGGCAATTTTCAAATTTTTTAATTACTGATTCAGTCTCTCTACTTGTTGTCTATTCAGGGTTTCAATTTCTTCCTGATTTAATTTCAGAGTGTTGTATGTTTCCAGGAATTTATTCACTTCCTCTAGGTTTTTAGTATTTCTCATGGTGCTGGTTTGGTAACGACAAATTCCCTCAGCATGTGTTTGTCTGAAATGACTTTATTTCTCCTTTATTTATGGAACTTAGTTTTGCTGGATACAGAATTCTTGGCTGACAGGTACTCTATTTAAAGAGGTTGAAGATAGGACCCCCAATCCCTTCTTGCTTATAAGGTTTCTGCTTAGAGGTCTGCTGTTAGTCTGATAAATTTTCCTTTATAGGTTACCTGATGGTTTTATCTTAGTGCTCTTAGAATTCTTTCCTTCATATTGGCTTTAGACAGCCTGATGACTATATGCTTTGGTGAAGATCTTTTTGCCGTGAATTTTCCAAGAGTTCTTTGACCTTCTTACATTGGGATATGTAAATATCTAGCCAGGTCAGTGAAGTTTTCCTCAGTTATTTCCTCAAATATTTTTTCTAGACTTTTTTCTCTTCTCCCTCAAAAATATCAGTTATTCTTAGGTTTGGCCATTTTATATAATTTCATATTTCTTGGAGACTTTGTTCATTTCTTTTAATTATTTTTTCTTAGCTTTTTGAGCTTTTTTGTGTTATGTATCATGCCACATCTCTGTGTATAGCTGCATGAGATAATAATGAACAGATTTTCATTCCTGTGAAGATTCACTTCCCGGCCGGTCGCTGTGGCCCACACCTGTAATCCCAGCACTTTGGGAGGCTGAGGCAGGCGGATCATGAGGTCAGGATATCAAGACCATCCTGACCAACATGGTGAAAGCCCATCTCTACTGAAATACAAAAAGCTAGCTCACTGTGGTGGCATACACCAGTAGTCCCAGCTACTTGGGAGGCTGAGGCAGGGGAATTGCTTGAACCTAGGAATGTGGAGGTTGCAGTCAGCCAAGATTGCACCATGGGAAACGTATGCAGGAATCATATTTATAATAATTTTACCTAAAAGGGCACTAAGCTTCCTCAGTATATTAAATAAAAATGTATGTGTATAATTTTTAAATAAATACAAATGAGAGCATGAGAACAAATATTTGTGCTAATTATGCATTTCAAAAGAATAAGGCAGAATTAGGGTCATAATAATAATCCCTTGTAGCATTTTGTTTTAAATTCTCAACAGTAAACATAATGAGTTAGTTTCCGAAAACATTTTCCTGTCCCTGATTCTGAACACTCAGATTAATCAGAAATGCACTGTTACAGGCATCAGTGTCATTCAAGGACGTGACTGTGGAATTTACCCAGGAGGAGTGGCAGCACATGGGCCCTGTTGAGAGGACCCTGTACAGAGATGTGATGCTGGAGAACTACAGCCACCTCGTCTCAGTGGGTGAGCACAGCTTACCATGAGGTTCCCTCCAGAGGGCAGTTCTGTTTCTCCTCTCTTTCTCTCTCTCCGTACCGTACCGTGTGACTCCCTCTACAGTGCAATTCTGGTTTTCCTTTTTTATATTAGTTCCTTTTATTGAGGTGTATTTAACAGAAAATAAAATTCAGCACCTTTCAGTGTACAAATCAATGAGTTTTAAAAAATGTATACAGTTGATTACCACAATCCAAATCATGGTTTGGAATCTTTTTATCACCCCCAAAAGATTCTTCGTAGCCCTTTGCAGTGAGTCCCCTCCCTCCATCCCTTCCCCCACAACCCCTGGCAACTATTTGTCTGCTTTCGATTGTAATAATTTTGCCTTTTCTCCAATTTCATATAAATGGAATCATAAATTATATACTCCCTTTTGTCTGGTTTTCTTTAGCATAATGCTTTTGAAACTCATGCACATGTGTGTATAAGTGGTTTATTATTTTATCCTAAGTAGTGTCCCTTTGTGGGCATATACTGCAATTTGTTATCCTTTATCAGTTGGTCAGCATACGGAACTTTCTCCCAGTTGGTGCTTTTATGAATAAAGCTGCTGTGAACTTTCACATACAAGTCTTTGTGTCAACATATTTTTTCATTTCTCTTGTATAAGTACCTAGGAGTGGGCTTGCCAGGTCTTCTGATAAGTTTATCTGTCTATAACTTTATAAGAAACTGCCAAATGTTTTCAAACTGGCTCCACAGTTTTTCATTTTCATGAACAATGTCTGTGAGTTCTCATTACTCTTTGGTTACCGTTATTTGGAAAATTTTACTGTTTTTAACAATTCTAGTTGGGTTTTAATTCGCATTTTCCTGATGACTAACAACATTGAACCTCTTTTTATATGCTTTTCAGCCATTCATAAATCTTCTTTAAGTGACCAGTCAAATCTTTAGCTCATTTTTGTTTCATTTAGTTTTTAGTATTTTTGTTTGTTTAGTCAAAGAAGTTCAGACCTTTATTAGATACATGTTTTACAGACTTTTTCTTGCTATCTCTCGCTTCTCTTTTTAAAGAGAAAATGTTTTCAGTTTTTAATTTTTTGCATATATTTTAAGAAACCTTTTTTTATATTGAAATAATTATAGATTTATGGGAATTAGCAAAAACTGTGTCCTCACCTTCATTTCCCCCAAAGGTTACATGTTATATAACTGTACTACAGTATCAACACCAGGAAGTAGACACTGGCACAATGTGTGTGAATAGCTGTGTGCCATTTTATCACATGTGGACATTGGTGTAACCACCACAGTTGCAATACAGAACTGTTCTATCAGCGCAAAGATCTCTTTGGTGCTACTCATTCATAGTCACACCCATGCCGTCTCTCACATTGTCCCTAATCTCTGCTAACTGCTAATCTGCTAGCTGTATAATTTTGTCATTTTGAGACTGTTACATAAATGGAATCATACAGTATTTGATGTGTTGAGATTGCCTTTTTCACTCAGCAAAATGCTCTTGAGATCCAAGTTGTTGCGTATCCATAGTTCATTCCTTCTATTGCTGTGTAGTAGTTCACTATATGAATGTCATTGTTTAGCCATTCATCTATTCAAGGACATTTTGTTTGTTTCCAGTTTGGGGCTATTATAAAGTTGATGTGAACATTCATGTTCATATTTTTTGTGAACATAAGTTTTTCTGGGATAAGTACCGAAGAGTGTGATTGTTGGATTGTATGGTAAGTTATGTTTTATTCTTTAAGAAAGTGCCAAACTATTTCCCGGAGTTGCTGTACCATTTTGCGTTTCTACCAGCAATGTATGAGGGATCCAGTTATTCCCTATCCTTTCTAGTTCTTGGCATTGTTGCTATTTTATATATTAGTGGTTGAATAGGTGTATAGTGATATCTCATAGTGATCCTAATTTGCGTTTCCCTAATGGCCACTGATAATCAATATCTTTTCATGTGTTCACACGCCATCTGTGTATCCTTAGTAAAATGTCTGTTCATGGCTTTTGTCCATTTTTTAATTGGAAGTTTGTGTGTTTTACCATTGACTTTTGAGAAATTAGATAGTCTAGATATGAGTTCTTTATCAGATGTGTGGTTTGCACATTTTTGTACCAATCTGTAACTTGTCTTTTCATCGTCTTCATGGGATGTTTTGAAGAGCATAAGTTTTTAATTTTGGTGAAGTCTAGTTTATCAGTTTTGTAAAAATTTTGTATCTAAGAACTCTTCACTAAGTCTTTGGACCAAAGATTTCCTCCTATTTTTAAAAATTGTGTAATATATTTTACATTTTAATGATAGTGCATTTTGAGTTAATTATTGTATAGGGCATGAAGTGTAAGTTGAGATAATTTTTTTTTTTTTTTTTTTGCCTATGGATATCCATTTGCTCCATGCAGCACCATTACCCTTCCTAGCTTTTTCACCTGTGTCAAAAATCAGTTGACTGTACTTGTATGAGACTATTATATTCCCACATTATATTTCTTTTTCAATATTGTTTTAGCTATTCTAGTTACTTTGCCTTTGCATATACATATTGTAATAATTTCATTATGTTAAAATCTTATTGAGTGTTTGACAGGAATTAAAGCTATAAATTTTCAATTTTGTGACAGTTAACATCTTCACTGCTTTGAGTCTTATTTTAAGTCTTATAATCCATAAGCACAAGATATTTCTCCATTTACTTAGATCTTGATTTCTTGCTTCAGTGTTTTGTAGTTTTCAATGTAAAAGTCCTGTACATGTTATATGTATACCTCAGTATTTCATTTGGTTGGATAATTGTTAATGGCATTGTGTTTTAAATTTCTGTTTGCATGCAAAGGTTGCTAGTTTATAGAAATATAATTGATTTTTGTATGTTTGTTCTTTTATGCTGAGATCTTGCTGAACTTTCTAGGAAGGCTTTTTGTAGATTCCTTCTGATTTTTTAACATAAGCTATCATGTGATCTATGTATAGGGTCATTTTACTATCTTCCTTTCTAATCTGTATGCCTTTTATTTCCTTTTCTTGCCATATTACACTGGCTAGGACTTCTAGTACTGTGTAGAATAAGAGTGGTGAGAGTAGTCATCCTTGCCTTGTTCCCAACCTTCAGGGGAAAACATCTCTTTCACCAAATGATCCTAGCAGGTCCTTTGTGGATATTCTTCATCAAATGGTGGAACTTCTACTGTATTCCTAGTTTTCTGAGAATATTGACTATGAATGGATATTGAATCTTGTCGAATATTTTTTATGTATATACTGCTGTGATTACATTATTTTTCTTCATTACGCCATTAACATAGTAGACTTTGTTGACTAGTTTTCAAATATTGAACCAGCCTTACATACTTGGAATAAACCTTACTTGGTAGTGTCATATAATTCTTTTTATTTATCGTTTGATTCTATTTGAAATATTTTGTTAAGTAGTTTTGCATTTATGAGAGAAACTGGTCCGTAGTTTTGTACTACCTTTGTCTGGTTTTCATATCAGCATAAGTCTGGCCTCATAAAATTAGTTGGAAAGTGTTCCTTCCAATTTTCTGGAAGAGGTTGTATAGAAGTGGTATTTATTCTTCATTAAATGTTTGGTAGAGTTATCTAGTGAAACCATCTGGGCCTAGGGACTTCTTTTTGGGGAGTTTTACAAATCAATTTCTTTAAGTCATATATATGGATATTCAAATTAATTCTGTTAGGTGAATTGTGGTATTTTTGCTTTTCTAACAATTAGTCCATTTTATATAAGTTGTCACGTTTATATGTGCAAAAATGTTCAGATCATTCCATTATTATCATTTTGATGTCTTTAGGATCTGTATTTATAGACCTGTTTTATTCTTTATATTGGTCATTTCTGTCTTCTTACTCTCTCTTTTATTTTTTTATTCACTCTTCCTAGAGGTTTTACAATGTTACTGCTCTTTTCAGTCAACCAGCTTTTTCTCTCATTGATTTTTCTCTTTTGTTTTTTTGGTTTTAATTTAATTGATTTCTACTTTTTACTTTTGCTTCTGTTAGGATTATTGTGCTGTTTGTCTAGTTTTTTAATGTGAGATCATGGACTATTAATTTGAGACTTCCTCTTTTCTGATGTACACATTTAGTGCCATAAAAAGCTCAGCATTGCTTTAGCTGCATCACACAAATTGCATGTTGGGTTACTAAGACATGTCTCTTATTTATGTCTAGAAGACATATTTCTTCTTCTTTGATTGAACACTCAATCATACAGTATGAGACCAAAGAAATGCAATTAAAACTTAACAACTGTTTACTTAATATCCACTCTTTGATAGACACCAGTGCAGTTCTCAAGTTACTTAATAGCACAGCCTTAATTTTCATAGGGTGATTTGAAGAGTTTCTGAGGCCAAGAAAACCTTTCTATTAAAAAAATTGTGATTTTTTTGAAGCTGGGTAAAGGATCTATGAGGGGAAGGGTTCACTGAACTCTTTTTACTTTTTTAAAGAAACTTTTCAAACTCAAAGAAAAAGATAAGCAGTGCTTGAGAATAGCTCTAAGGAAGTCTAGGAATAAGCTAAATAAGGAAATATAAACATTCCAAGCAGATAAAAGTACAAGCACAAAGACCCCTGGTAGAAGAGAAGATAGTGAGTACAGAGTCCTGAAAAAGAACCAGTACACCTGCAACAAAGAAAGCAAGAAGGAATATGGTACAGATGTGAAAGTGGACCAAGTGAATATATATTATTGAGGCTATATTCTGGTTTTTAAGCAGTAAGTAATCATTGAGGGTTTTAAGTAAAATAGTAATCAACCATATCTGCTAAGAAATGTAATTTTTTGGCACTAAAGAAATTACAGGTGCATTAGTTTTTACTCAGCAACATATACAATACTCAGCAACAATACCTGCATAAACACAAAATAATACATACACAAGGTTATTCATTGCAGCATTGTTTGTAATAGCAATAGAATATCAACAACCCAAATGTACGTCATTGACTAATTGGCTAAAAGTATGTTACTTCTACA